TCACTCACCAAAATTTATTTTCCTAGTTCAATAGTCATCACCTAATACTAAAGGAGGGTGAAGTATCCCAGCTAAGCATTGCTCTTTCACTGAGGGATGCCAAGGTACTTACAGATGCAATATGGGCATCATCTTTAAGAGATTCTTTAAAGAGGAAATTTCTGTTGGATGTTGCAGCGCAGTGTGAAAATCTTGGCAAGACTGAAAAGGGTGGGAAGCCTTCTGTCCTCAAAGACAAGACTTATGAGGCCTTGCGTACCTTTTCGTGGCTAAAAGTTGTAGAGGAAGGTCATAGGAGGTGTCCTGATGTCATTGACTTCATTTTGACAATATGTGCACCAGCACATCGGGAGACAGTAAACAACACTAAGAAAGGAGAAAGCAGGATACCAGCAATTGGTCTGTGTTACATTGTGTTACAGTGTACCAGTGTCAGAATAATCTGGTTACTGATAGTTAAAAAAATTTTTGATGTTGAGACAGTGATTTCAGATTATTACCCAATGCACAGCCTTTTCACCCTACACAGCCATGGATAGCTTTTTTTTTCCTCCCTTTTTTTGGACTCTTCAGCATGGTTGCTGACTTTTGGTCGTATTGGCAATTGCTAGACCTTATGTTCTTTGTGCAATACCTTGTAACTCTGTCAACCTGTAGCACAAATTTTCCATCAAAACAAGAGGATCATATATAAAATAATGCATTTCATCAGGTTCTTTCCCGGGGGGGCTACCTCTCAGAGCCCCTACCCTATTATAGTCTATTCTTTGGCCAATTATAGACCCTATCTTATAGTCACTTTTGGGCAAATATGTAATTTTTGCGATCCCAACTTAGTCACTTTCTATTTATCTACCTTATATTGAATGAAGAACACTTTACTGTTTAACTACAGTACAAACATTCTGGTATGTTTGCTAACCATAAATATGAAGAACTGCCTAACCCCAAAAATCAGAAAATGTGCAACCCCATTTCTAGTAACTATTGAAAATGCGAGTCCATTATAGTCAATCCAGTCGTGAAAATGCGACATGCAGCAGCACATCCCCATTATTAGCCTCTTATATATATGGAAGTACCTCCCCTGAAGTTCTTTTAGGATTTTCTTTAATTTGATGATGACTATCATTTTAAATTGTTTTTTTTTATTTATTTCAGACATATGGACGTTTAGAAAAGCAAGGGGTGTGCTTGTCACACACCTCTATGATCAATCTACTGGACCTCATGGGAGGACACTTTCATGACAAAATTGTTGAACTGGTCAAAGCTGGAAAGAAATTCTACACTGTTATGACAATTTGAACTGCAAAACAACAGTGAAGAACATGAGGGTAGATCACAGGAACAAGCAGCACAACTGGTTTGCAAGCATTGTTGTTTTTGAGAGGATTGACTTCAGCCACTTGGACAATGTCAGACCACTTGGTGACATTCAGAATTTTCCTAATGAGAATTACCTCCTTACCTCAGAGGAAATCAAGAAACTTCAGTCAGACTTCAAAGTTCTTGTGGGGAGAATCTTTTTAGAATTCTTCAAACAACCTCAATTTGCAGCAGCTAAGAAGCTGGTACCACAGCACATTCTGCACAGGTACACTAACGAAATGAGCTCGAAGTCAGAAGTGTTTCCACTGCCAATTCAATTCAAAGATGAAAAAAAATATGCAGATTTGGTAGACATCTTAGCTAGCCATGAAGCCACATTTGAAACAATATTTAAAGCAGCTACAGATAATGAAGGTCCTGAACAAGAAACCTACATCCCAGCTGACTTTAACTGTCCTGGTGGCGACCAGTTGACAAGAGTGCGTTTTACGTATGGGCGTAAACTAAGGGCTGGAGCTCACACTTCTAAGGACCGACTGGAACATTCTCAGCCTGATGTTATAGAGCTCTTTCATACAAAGCAAGCATTCTTAACTGTTCATTAAGAACCCAAAGGTACAGTAATAAATCAGTTTGAAAAGATTGCCAAAAATATGCAGCTAATTTATTGTTTCTTGATTTTTATTTGTATAGACCATCCTGCCCACCAAAATCCCCCAACCGGTGCAAGGTTTTTCTTTAGAGAAAGCAGGACTCAATAACCCAAAGGTAATTAAAATGCTTTAAATCAAGTTCTCGTGTGCTGGTAACTCTGTTTGTAAAAGATTATGGTTACAACAAAACAAACCACCCTTTGTTCCTTCCATGTCTCTGATGTTGCTTAGATACATGCATAAATTTGTCTGCCTCCCCCCTTTTTTCCCAAAATCATGGACCCTTTCCCTATTTGCAGCAGCCCTGGCTACATGTAAATAATCATCAGTCCCTTACTGCAAGCTGTTTTTGTAATTATTTTTCTTTCCTTTCTTTCTTGCGATAAAAAGAAAAAAATGTATTCATACTGTCAATTACGTACATCTTCTCAAAAATTGTACCATTTTTACTTCTCCCAGCTTATTGCATGTGAATTCTATATCCTACAGTCATTTGATATGCTATAGACGTGTATGGCAGTTAGAGATGCACGTTCTTAATTTTTTGCACCAGGCACTGTGATCTTTTGGGTGTGTGTCATAATAAACACATTGGAAAAACACAGACCACAATGTTACACATACATTAGTGGTCTTTGTACAGATGAGCTTATTCTTATCTTCATAACAATTGTCACTCACCAAAATTTATTTTCCCAGTTCAATAGTCATCACCTAATACTAAAGGAGGGTGAAGTATCCCAGCTAAGCATTGCTCTTTCACTGAGGGATGCCCAGGTACTTACAGATGCAATATGGGCATCATCTTTAAGAGATTCTTTAAAGAGGAAATTTCTGTTGGATGTTGCAGCGCAGTGTGAAAATCTTGGCAAGACTGAAAAGGGTGGGAAGCCTTCGGTCCTCAAAGACAAGACTTATGAGGCCTTGCGTACCTTTTCGTGGCTAAAAGTTGTAGAGGAAGGTCATAGGAGGTGTCCTGATGTCATTGACTTCATTTTGACAATATGTGCACCAGCACATCGGGAGACAGTAAACAAAACTAAGAAAGGAGAAAGCAGGATACCAGCAATTGGTCTGGCATATGCAGTGATGATGCATCAGTCTAACCAACAGCTCAGCCTGGTTCAACGAATGAACACCTTGGTTCTTTGTCATGGGCATGCAGAGAAGATAGTAAGTTTCTTTTCTTATCTGACAAATAAACAATTTCTGAGGTATACATTGTGTTACAGTGTACCAGTGTCGGAATAATCTGGTTACTGATAGTTAAAAAAAATTTTGATGTTGAGACAGTGATTTCAGATTATTACCCAATGCAGAGCCTTTTCACCCTACACAGCCATGGACAGCTTTTTTTTTTCCTTCCTTTTTTTGGACTCTTCAGCATGGTTGCTGACTTTTGGTCGTATTGGCAATTGCTAGACCTTATGTTCTTTGTGCAAATTACCTTGTAACTCTGTCAACCTGTAGCACAAATTTTCCATCAAAACAAGAGGATCATAATTATATAAAATAATGCATTTCATCAGGTTCTTTTCCCGGGGGGGGGCTACCTCTCAGAGCCCCTACCCTATTATAGTCTATTCTGTGGCCAATTATAGACCCTATCTTATAGTCACTTTTGGGCAAATATGTAATTTTTGCGATCCCAACTTAGTCACTTTCTATTTATCTACCTTATATTGAATGAAGAACACCTTACTGCTTAACTACAGTACAAACATTCTGGTATGTTTGCTAACCATAAATATGAAGAACTGCCTAACCCCAAAAATCAGAAAATGTGCAACCCCATTTCTAGTAACTATTGAAAATGCGAGTCCATTATAGTCAATCCAGTCGTGAAAATGTGACATGCAGCAGCACATCCCCATTATTAGCCTCTTATATAATTATATGGAAGTACCTCCCCCGAAGTTCTTTTAGGATTTTCTTTAATTTGATGATGACTATCATTTTAAATTGTTTTTTATTTTTTTATTTCAGACATATGGACGTTTAGAAAAGCAAGGGGTGTGCTTGTCACACACCTCTATGATCAATCTTCTGGACCTCATGGGAGGACACTTTCATGACAAAATTGTTGAACTGGTCAAAGCTGGAAAGAAATTCTACACTGTTAATGACAATTTGAACTGCAAAACAACAGTGAAGAACATGAGGGTAGATCACAGGAACAAGCAGCACAACTGGTTTGCAAGCATTGTTGTTTTTGAGAGGATTGACTTCAGCCACTTGGACAATGTCAGGCCACTTGGTGACATTCAGAATTTTCCTAATGAGAATTACCTCCTTACCTCAGAGGAAATCAAGAAACTTCAGTCAGACTTCAAAGTTCTTGTGGGGAGAATCTGTTTAGAATTCTTCAAACAACCTCAATTTGCAGCAGTTAAGAAACTGGTACCACAGCACATTCTGCACAGGTACACTAACGAAATGAGCTCGAAGTCAGAAGTGTTTCCACTGCCAATTCAATTCAAAGATGAAAAAAAATATGCAGATGTGGTAGACATCTTAGCTAGCCATGAAGCCACATTTGAAACAATATTTAAAGCAGCTACAGATAATGAAGGTCCTGAACAAGAAACCTACATCCCAGCTGACTTTAACTGTCCATCTGGTGGCGATCAGTTGACAAGAGTGCGTTTTACGTATGGGCGTAAACTAAGGGCTGGAGCTCACACTTCTAAGGACCGACTGGAACATTCTCAGCCTGATGTTATAGAGCTCTTTCATACAAAGCAAGCATTCTTAACTGTAAGTACAGCTGTGCAACATATGTAATATATATGGTGACTGCAAGAGTTATGTACTATTATTTAATCTAGTCCTTTTCTGTTCAACAACTGTTGAGCATAAAAGAACAAACTGGATTTATTAAATCTGGCTGCCTATGACACACTTGATCAGAAAAGATAGTTGAATTCTTTAAGTTTCCTAATACTATATCTATATTGTAATGATAGTAATAATCATCTCTTCTTCATAGAAATATATAAAACAAAGCAGAGTTTAATCAAAAGCTCTTTTATACAAAACAGTTCTTAACACATTGAATAAAAAGGCTGAGGGACATTTCATAGCCCACTTTTCAGTTGTGGAGTTTGGAGTCTACTTGGCAAAATAAAATGCATAATTTAAATAACAATAATTGTTATTCTTTTGTATTTATTTTCAGCTCATTAATGATGTCCTGATGAACCAGAATTCAACACGTGAAATCGGTACACTGAAGTATTTTAGAGAGCGCATTATGCGCTACAATGTTCCCACAACTGTCAAAAACAACCCTGATGCATATGAGGAGTTCTTTGTGTCAGTTGGAAGGGCTTACTTAGTGGAAGCTTTCCTAGAATTCTTTGGTATGGAAAACACTAAAAGTGAGCCTACAAAAAATTTGCCCGAACAAAATGCAAGCTTGGAGGCAAAGAAGGAACACTTTGATAAGGTGCTTGGGAAGTTTGTTGACTACCATGTTTTCCACTTGGGTGTGACAGTCGATGACAAAGTCCAGAATTATGGTCTCTCTTTGATTGAACTGTTCATAGTTCTTATGCAACTGAATGACACAATTCATGAAGGTGATGGAGATAGAAATGTTATTAATTGGAAATACCTTTTGTGGGTTTTCAAAGCCAATAACAAATTGTCAAAGTATGCAATTGAAGGAATGTACTTCCTAACTTCAGTAAAGTGCATGCTGACCCACCAGGTGTCCGAACGTGTGATTTGGGGAAGAGGGACCAACAAGAAAGGGAAAATTGGAGTTAACATGCCAAATGATTTAGAAATGGAGCATACCATCAAGAGCACAAAAAATCTGATAACTTCAATGGGGGCAAATAAGACTGAGAAGGCTGTGCTTCGTAGCTCAATGGCAGTCACTGGAGTCAGTGAATCCCTGCATGCTTATGATGAGAGTTCAAATGTCAAGCCACCGTCAACTGCTCACACTAAAAAAAGTGCTGATAGAGATGAAGGCATTATGCTGGGGGATCTGAGGTTGCTAAGGCCATTCAAATGCGACCCAATGCATGAGCCTCATCCTTCATTTCCTGATATGCTGAAGAGTGTAAGAGAGAAGATTGACTTGGGTGAATTCTTGCGTTGGCTTGAAAATCACAAGAGACAGCTTGCAAGAGGTCAATCCGTAGTTCCTGAAAATGAAGAATCTGAATCGTCTGATGCAGATGACTAAGTAAAGTACACATGTTATAACACAAGTCGAATTTTTTCGTCATCTACTGCGTGAAAAAGGAGGAACTTTAAAATGGATTTCAGTTCAGTTCAGTTCAATTTATAGTTTTAGGATGTACAAAAAACAAGAAAATTTAAGTATTTAAAGCTAATGGTGAGGAAGCCCAAGGGAAGCCACTTGGCTTATAAGGAATGGGCTCCCTCAGTTAAATTATCACAACAAAATATTATCAGAATTAGTTATGGTACCTAATGTTTTGCAGAGTTTCTTAAGGAGGCTTTTAAGCCTATTTGGATGTGACATTACTTATAATCTGTACAATCTTTTCTGCATGTTCTTTTCTCCAAACCGGTAGTTTTTCCATAATTCTGTCAAGAGAACAGAGTTCTTGAAGTGTTGAACAAACATCATCAACTACTGTCATTGTTAATTCTGAACACATACTTAAATTCAAATAGTTATCGCTGGCCTCAATTTCTTCTTTGTATTTTATAAGCTCAGATTTTATATCTTCCACCTGTTTTCCAGAAAGAAGAAATTCATTATCAGGGATGTGAATGTTTTCAAGGGCCAAAACATCTTGATGTAGCTCAACACATTCAGAGCACTCACAGTCAGTTCGACATATGTTACAGCAGCTGTGTTTGTCTCGAGGACTTGGAATGCCAAAACCAAAGTGGCTAAGCACAATTTTTCTTCTGCAGACATTTTGAGGGTTTTTACAGTAATCTCTCATAATAGGTTGCATTCCTTCAACATTTGCACCAATATCATTGTTGTTGAAGTAAAGAGTTGATGTGGCAGGCCTCCCATCTCTTCCAGCTCTCCCACTTTCTTGAAAAAAACTCTCCATACTTCGGGGCACACCAAAATGGATTATCCTTTCAACACAAGGAGAGTCGACCCCCATGCCAAATGCCACTGTAGCAAATATTACCCTCTGTTTGCATGACTCTGAAACAATGCTGCTAATAAGTTCATGTTTCATTTTGTCTGTCTGTGGCGAGTGAAATTGAGCAAAAAGCCTGTTTTGAGGAATTTGGGGAGCCCCAATAGGTAGAACTGGTGATCCCCAAGCTTTCTCTCCAAAAAGGCATACCCAACTCCACACATTTCTAATGATGAGTAAATAATAGTGACAGGCATTTTAATATTGGCAATAACGAGTTCATTTGCTATGGGTGAAAGAATTTCTTTAAACTGGTTAATGTTACTTTGTTTAAGATAGGACGGCCTTTTCTGTACTTCATAACAAATATTAGGCCTGTCAGGATTTGTAATTACAAGTTTGGGATCTTTCATGTTCAGACTTTTCATAATGCTTGTTTGATATTCCTTTGTTGCTGTTGCTGTCATGGCAACAATCTTAGCTGTGGGGAATACTGAGGAAAGTGTTCCTAGTTTTCTGTAGTCTTCTCTGAAGTTATGCCCCCTAAACAATGAAACACAAAGTAAAAATGCTGTAGTGATACACTGAAATGCCATTATACTTGGCACTAGAATAAGAGAATTTGGCCACAAAAATTACAGATAATGACTACATGAAAGTGGACTTTCAAGTAACTAAGCCGTTATAGTAGGATGGAATTAAGAAGAAAAAGGCTGGAATAACTTTGTTATTAGTAACAATATGGCCATGTAGTTATATTGGCTTTTCACCCTTTAAGCCTCAGTAATGAAATTTCCCTTAACTACTCTTAGGTGTACATTTTTCCTAGAGTACTACACAGAGGTTGCTGAAAAATCAAGAAGCTTAGCCACTTTTGGCCTCTGCTTGATTGGAGGTCATTATTGGCGCTTAAAGGTTCAAGGTTCACTTTTCTGTTATTATTATGTGATGTAACTGAAAATATTTTGTTTGGCCTGCTTAACATTAGTAAAATAATATTTATCACATAACATTCATGCAAATATTAATGCAAGCTGCTCAAGGTCAGCAAAATGGCACCATCCAGTAATTTAGCAGCTCTAAGAGTGACATATTTTTTAAAGTTTTGGACAACAAATTATTTTAGAATTCCCAGTCATATTGCTTTGAACATAATTTTTACTTTAATTTCCCACAAGCTTTCTGTGATGGACTTGGGTCATTAATTTACAGTTAGATTATAGTGTGTTTCAAAAATTCACTGTCGCTGTTAAACAACATGGTGATGGAATACTTAGGGAAGTTAGAGATTCATAATAGTGTGAAAGGAGGACACACAGTTGCACTACAAATGAATGACATTCAATTTGAACTGGCCACAGATATGCACTGGAAAACAAATGGTGAAGATAAGTATCAAGTTGCTACTTAAAATTTAACCCAAACAGTCATTTGTACCTTCTAAAGACTTCTTTGCTTGTGTGCTTTGTTGCCTTAATATAAGTCATTTGATCATACTTGGAGAACAGATGAGCATTAAATTAAATTAAATTAAATTAAATTAAATTTAAGAAAACATGTCACATGATACCTCTTGAGAGCATCAAAATTTTACACACTGAGGAAACAATGTCTACAAGCATAACAGGTCTATGACTATTAGTTTTTTGGTGATCTGATCAATGCACCCATCAGAAGCAATTGAAATACCAAGATAGCTGCTTTTGGACATAATAAAACCTTTTTATTTAGTTGAACTAGCATGTACATTGGTGATAAGGCAATAAATATCATTACCGCAATGATAAGAATACAAACAGCTCACTGTGTCCTTGCAAAGTAAATACACATAGTAAACTTTGAGTTTCATTGTATAGTTCAAATTTTGGAGTCTGGATCCCGGTGTGAGAACATTGAATTCATAAACTTTGTGAAATCTTCATAAAGCAGCAACTAAGGTTGACTGACTACAAAACTAACTTTATGTTAAATCCTTTCAGGTGTGAGGTGACAAAAGTGATCATGTAACCCAAAAATTTGAGTCTAGGAAACAGGAATTTAACAATAGGTGTAGGGGCCATTTTTAGCCCTAACATGAAGGAAGCTTATAACCTTAAAAGTATTAACAAAATGATCAAACAGAGAAAAACAACAACAAAAAGTAATGATAATCATAATTTACCACTCAATGATGCAATGTGCTTCATCAACCACCACAGCCCTAACATTTCTCTGGTAGTAAGCCGACAAAAAAAGGTCTCTACATTGCCTGTTGCTTACTGCTACCTCGGGGTGTGTAAAAATTAACTCAAACTTTCCAGCTTGAAGGTCTTCAAGAATTTTCTCCTCAAATGCGCCATCGACCTCGTCACCACAAACATGCAAACTTGTACAATTGAAACCAGCTGATTTAAGTTTATTTATTTGGTCATCAATTAAGGCATTCAAAGGAGAAACAACAATGACAATTGACTTGTCCTTCGATGAAAGGTTCCTCGCACTAATTTTATCAAACAGTGATGGTAGCATTTGGTAGATCAACGACTTCCCGTAGCCAGTTGGAAGAACAATTAAACAATCCTGACCTTTAAAAACAATCGACTGTAGTGCTTCTTTTTGTTTAGGCTTCAGCATAAGATTTCCTTGACCTCTACTTCGAAGAACATCTTCTAGAACACTGTCCAACTCCATGTTTTCCTTATGTTTCCCGAACAGTAAGCACGAACATGCGCAGTTATAGCAAGGCCCGTATATCGGGCCTCGCTTCTACTGAGCATGATCGAAATCGAACTTTACCAGATCTCCCTTTCCCTTGGCCGTGGGAGATCTGGGTACGAGATTAGAATGTTGTATTCCCCTTTCTTGCGCAGAAATCTTGTAAAATTGTGAATGAATACGTAAATGTCAATGACAGAAAGTCCTGTGGTCAGGTATGATTCGCTGTTCTTGCAAAGGCGACGTCACATACTTTGATTGGTTAAGAGAAAGTTAATATATTTTGTTTGTTACCTAAAACTGAACAACGATTTGTATCCTTGGTGTGGTTGATTGATTTTTGACATGTAAATTTTAAAAAAAGGCCTATTGGTTTTATTAACAGTACATCTTTATTGCTTACTTTAACACAACCACCACCATCAATATCACTCAACGGAACAAGACATCACCCGATTTTTAATGAAATTCCTTGGCATTTTATCCATAACGTCGTCGATGTTAATGTAATCTCGCGCAAAAAGGGGACTAAACAGCCCCTCTACACTACTATTGTCTGTCCATAAGTGTTTTCTAAGTGAATAACATTACTAATATCAGAATTAATACTGAGTCGTATATGGAGTGTAAGACCTGTAATTTTGCTATGATATAAAAGACCATGCGATAATCATCAGGGCTGAGTTGCGTTTAAGGCATTGCAATTCTCACTTTCAGTAGGTTTCTGTCGCGTCCGCTACCATTCGTAACAAATATCCCACGACTGACGAATAATAAAATTACCTTTTGTTGAAGTCCTTATCTTGGGTCAAATTTGGTCTGAAACTTTTTAAAAGGTGCATTTTTGGTAATTTGAAGCATTTTTGTAGTGACAATACCCCACCGTAGCGACGTTGGTGTTCACAATGTTCACGAAAATCTCATTTTTGAGTTTTCATTTTGTTTTTCAGGGATTTGTTGTGGCGTGGTCCGGAAGTAAAAAGAACGCATGTGTTCGACTGATCAAGCACTTCTCAAAGATAAAAGAAGAGGATTGGAAAAAAGAAGTGGAGTTAGCAAAAGAGCTTAGGCAGGGACTGGAGCATCCCAATATAATCAAATACTGCTGGCACTCTGCAAGTACGTAAATAACAGATACTTTCCCTTATTTCACTGTTGAATAAATCACGACGTAAGAAAATGTATTATCGAAAGAATCTTAGTTAGTATGCGGCTTGAATTCCTAACTTAACGCCAGGTCCGTATGGAAGGGAGGGGGTGCGACGGGTGTACTCGCAACCCCCCCCCCCTTCCCCCTCACAGGCCTCAGAGGTCCCCTTTTTTGTTTATCAACGATTTAAGACAAAGTGAAGTAATAGTATTTTTCAATTCTAATTCACTGATTGTGGAGTAAAATTGAAAATAGGGTGAAGAGTTGACTTCGTGTAAGAGTATGAAAAAAAGGGGATTTGGTATGCATACAAGGCATTTACACCCCTTGCTAATTCGTCGCTTGCTCTTTCATTTTTTCGGGTAAGGTCTGTTTTGAAGGATTCGTGGTGCGGATTGAGCAAATGTTTCCTTGCCTCTTTTCTTTCACTGGGATGTTATGTGGTCTTTTATATTACTGTACAGTGGCTTCCTGTGGTTTCCTGGCTATCTTTGCTCTATCAGAAATGGACCTCTGATCGCTAGCTGAAGATGTTGATGATTCTTATTTTTGGGTCTCTAACCTTTAGGGTTTGTTCCCACAGCTTCCTTGGATCTGATTTATTATTTTAAGAGGGAGTAAGACGTTTCCTGGTATTATTTTGACACATGCAGGAGCCTGCTCTTTAGCGTTGCTTGCATGATATTGAAGCTCCTATTAAAGCTGTCCTACTCTTATAAAAAATTGCCCTGTCATTCGGTCAACGGCGTTGCTTGCATCATTCAACTCCGAGCCCTTTCATATTAGAATAATGCAATCCTAGACCAATATCATTTGAAAGGTCCGGCCTAATGGCAATACTATAAAGGTTGCTTTGATGTCGATTACGCTCTTATACATAGCTTAGCATAGCTGTTATTACTTATACATAGCTGTAATTCCATCAGATGATTGTCAGAAAGAAAAGACTATTCTTCATTTTAGCGTTTCTTTTACTTTTTGCAGCCGAAAAGTGTGTTGTTAACTACAAGAAAGCAGGATTTCCAAGATTCAAGAAAAGTTCATTGTAATGAAAACCATCCTTTCCTTTTAGCCAAGTTTGATTTAGTCAGATTTTTTAACCGATGAATTTTGTAGATGTGATTTGTACCGGTAAATGGCTGTATTGTTTACGGGATTCTTAGATATTTTTATAAACAGCTTCAAGTTATCTAGATTGGGGCGTAACCTAGCGGGTAAGCCCCTATCATGGAAAGCGTGAAAAATGCTTCATAAATATGCGGTAGTCTTAAACAAAACTTCGACTTTTGTCTTTCTATCTTTGATTTGTTCATTTATTTCGGGTTTTTAAATAAAATTAGACTTTTTTTTCATTTCTCAATGGTTATTTTTACCGTTCATTGACATAAGAAGGATCTAAAACTTTCCTACGCTTATAACTGTCTGCTTTGTGTGTTTTCTGAAATACCCAGCTTCCAAAAACATATGAATCAACCAAAAAGTTTTTAGTACCCCATTGTTCTTTCTTTTTATTTTTTCCCCCTATTTCTCCAATTCGTAGTTTATTGTGTTACGACTTTTCTGCAAACACGACTTTGGAGGAGTATTTCAAAAGTAACAGGATTATTTTTAATCTGGACTCTCTTATCGCTGTGGCTATTGACTTGATCTCCGCTATACAGCACTTAGAACAGAAAGGCGTGGTCCATAATAACATAACAACCTCCAGTATATTGATTGGCAGAGGATTCAGGGTAAGTTTAAAACATTAGTGTAGGGCGTCCTTGTTTCGCTTTATCGCCTTATGTATGCGTCATGTATGCGCCTGCGCGCTAGGTTTTGTAAGTAATCAACCACGCGTTCCGACTTAAGAGCCTGAAAAGGCTTAAGTTTGTACTTTACTTCGCGCTTTTTTCATTTTTTCTGCATACCAACCTTCGTAATATGTGATCCAGGTTGACAGATTCCCCTAGAGGTTCCTTCAGAGATCAGTTAAGCATGTGGAAACTGTCCTATCTGTTCGAGCCAACTAGCGCAATTAAGATACCTTAAAATACCATCAACTCCTTAAGTCATTAATTTCTTTATTTACTAAGATTTTAGTATCTAGTATCTTTTTGATGATTTTATGACTTTTCCAAAATGACAAACATAACATCAAAACAGAATGACAAAATTTGCAAGCTGCGACGCAATCAAGTCACTTGTCCAAACTTATCTAAGGTCCAGGAGACGGAGCCTAGGAATTTTCATCAAAATACATACAGTGTTAAAGAAAACCTCAAATACTTTATATCTTTCAATTTTTCTTAGAGCACTAGAAACGATCTTTCTGCTTTCTGCCAGGTGCCTCCAATAACTGCTTTCTTGGGAAGTTTTGGTTTCGCTCAGCGGGTTTCTCAGGATTTTCCTGAATGTATTTTAAATGGTCACTCAGTGAAGGACATTTTAGGCAAGAATATACTTCAGTTCGGTTTCGTCCTGAGTGAACTGATGAAGAATTGCCGCGACTCCAATGAATTTGAGGAGGTAATTGTTACATTACGTAGCGAATAGATCGATTATTGGCATTAATATATATAGCTCAGGTGACACTTGATTATGATTTGATATGGCTGACCCACAACAGCTGAGAACCTTGAGCCGTGTGTGACTACTTTAAGTAAACCAAACCCCACTTGTAATTGTAACTGTGGACTTTCTCAATTACTTTCCGCCTCTCTAGTAAGCCGTAAGAGCCCCCCCCCCCCACCCCTGCCTTGAACTCCAAAAATATGCCCCCGGGTGCTTATTAGAGAATTGGTTTTTACTGTTCATTGCTTTTATGCATAATTCAGTAGCCTTTAAAGTGTACGTCATTACAAAGGCTAACAAACTAACAATGCTGTTAAGAACAGTAACCAAACGTTAACTGTTACACTAGGTAGCCGTCGTGTAAATATAGGTGTTAATAGTTAAATGTTTTTTTCCTTTGCTCTTTTTTAATTCATTTATACATTAATTCTCTTTTAGCTTCAAGAGGTGATGCATTTGTGTTTTGAACAAGATCCTGATGTGAGACCAAACGCATGTCAACTAAGATACCTGGTGGAGGAACTGTGGTATCGCAATGATATTTGGGACACTAGCTTGTAGATTTATTTAAATCAAAGAATAAGTCATTATCCTTTACTCCTTGCAAAAAAGGAAGATACAAGCAGTTTAAAAGAGCACGGATATGACTTTGTTGTCAGTGTAGGTCAGCACAACGGATTCACGGATTCCCCACGAGTCAGTAAAACTTATAACTTTTCATAGGTTAGAAAAGGGTTCTTCAACTCGATGACTTATTTATTGTAGCCTTGCCTAAAGGCAAGGCCAATTTACAACTGTTTATTTAAAATCAGCATTACTTGAAAGAAGGTCAGAGAATTCTCGGTTCAGAAAGACTTTCTAGCCTCCTGTGCACAATAGAAAAAATGCTCATGACGTAGAGAGGCAGGACGATTTTTTAATTATAACATACTTTGGACGTTAATAATGGTAATTGAACTGACCGAGGTGCAATTTAGTCTGTTATTACGGCCATTTTGAAATCGCAGAATTTAGTTAGTACCAATATTTATTCGATCTAGTAGCTGGTTTGTTGAAAAGCGCAAACAAAAGGCTTTTTGATCTCATATTGTGCACGCGACAGAAATGATGCAATATAGAGCAAGTATAGTGCGATTTAAGACAAAAATGACGCGATTTAGAGCATGAATGACGCGATTTAGAACTGTGTGATTTAGAGCAAAAAGTGATTCGTGAATAAACATGGTCTTAATGCACCCCAAATGCCATTTGTCCATTTCGTTGTTTCACATTAATTAATCTATATTTTTAAATTTTACTGTCTGCGTGACCGTTTTTCTCTCAGCCAAGGGCGAAACAACTGTCCTTTACTAAATTGAAACACTGAAACACAGTTGCAATGTAAAAGCGTGAGGGCATTCTATGCTAGAATCAATGACCATTTGTAAGCTAAAACGTTTACGCTTTGTACAAACCGTCAGCATTGCTAACAGTTCGTATTCTGAGCATATACGAAGCCGTGTATCTCATTATTACATCAGGGCACAATTGTTACGGTTCGTACGATCCTTACGGATCATGACGGTCCGTATGCTTGATTATTACGGATCGTAAATTCCTTGTTATATTAGCCATGAGGCGAAACAAGCACGCTTCAACAGTAACATTCCTTGTTTTATAAGCCAAATACCAAAACAAGCGCGCTTCACGCGTAATAATCCCTCGTTCTATAAGCAATATACCAAAACAAGTGCGCTTCAAATGCAACATTTCTCGTTCTATAAGCTATAAATCAAAAGAAGCACGCTTCTAACTATTCCCTGTTCTATAAGCCATATACCAAAACAAGCGCGCTTTAAATGTAACATCGTTCTATGAGCCATAAACCACAAGAAGCGCGTTTCAAATCTAATATTTCTCGTTCTGTAAGCCATATACCAACAAGCGTGCATCACATGTAATATTCCTCGTTCAAAGGGCCATATACCAAAACAAGCGTGCTTCAAATGTAACATTCCTCTCGATTCCTCGTTCTATAAGGCATAAACTACAAGAAGCGCGATTCAAATGTAATATTCCTCGTTCTATAAGCCATAAACCAAGTGCACTGAGAGGAACGAACTGGAATCAATGCTATCAAGGAACGCAACCAACGGCTGCAATATTCCGTAGGAATTGCTCCCTGGTTTTTTAACGTATATAATCACTTCTCATGAAAGCGATGGCTTCAAGTTGCAAGCTACGGGAAGCGTGGGAAGACATTTTCCAGAGAAAATTCCCGATAGAAGTGCAGGTGGCGGTGCTGGAAAGGGTTCCAACTATGTTTCTTAAGTCAAAGCAAAGAATTATTCGTGAAAACTGGACTTAAAACTACAGAATGGAATTGAGAANAACACTGAAACACAGTTGCAATGTAAAAGCGTGAGGGCATTCTATGCTAGAATCAATGACCATTTGTAAGCTAAAACGTTTACGCTTTGTACAAACCGTCAGCATTGCTAACAGTTCGTATTCTGAGCATATACGAAGCCGTGTATCTCATTATTACATCAGGGCACAATTGTTACGGTTCGTACGATCCTTACGGATCATGACGGTCCGTATGCTTGATTATTACGGATCGTAAATTCCTTGTTATATTAGCCATGAGGCGAAACAAGCACGCTTCAACAGTAACATTCCTTGTTTTATAAGCCAAATACCAAAACAAGCGCGCTTCACGCGTAATAATCCCTCGTTCTATAAGCAATATACCAAAACAAGTGCGCTTCAAATGCAACATTTCTCGTTCTATAAGCTATAAATCAAAAGAAGCACGCTTCTAACTATTCCCTGTTCTATAAGCCATATACCAAAACAAGCGCGCTTTAAATGTAACATCGTTCTATGAGCCATAAACCACAAGAAGCGCGTTTCAAATCTAATATTTCTCGTTCTGTAAGCCATATACCAACAAGCGTGCATCACATGTAATATTCCTCGTTCAAAGGGCCATATACCAAAACAAGCGTGCTTCAAATGTAACATTCCTCTCGATTCCTCGTTCTATAAGGCATAAACTACAAGAAGCGCGATTCAAATGTAATATTCCTCGTTCTATAAGCCATAAACCAAGTGCACTGAGAGGAACGAACTGGAATCAATGCTATCAAGGAACGCAACCAACGGCTGCAATATTCCGTAGGAATTGCTCCCTGGTTTTTTAACGTATATAATCACTTCTCATGAAAGCGATGGCTTCAAGTTGCAAGCTACGGGAAGCGTGGGAAGACATTTTCCAGAGAAAATTCCCGATAGAAGTGCAGGTGGCGGTGCTGGAAAGGGTTCCAACTATGTTTCTTAAGTCAAAGCAAAGAATTATTCGTGAAAACTGGACTTAAAACTACAGAATGGAATTGAGAAGTTTGTCACTGCGACAGGACCTGAAAAGTAAGACATCTAAAAAGAGCAAATCTACACAGCCTGAAAGTAAAGCAACCAAAAAACCAGCCGTTATAAAAGAACAGGAAAAACACTTTGACAAACCTGAAATCACTGTCCAGTGTGTGGTTGAAATGAGTAAAGAGAATGATCCTTTTCTTGCCATGAAAATAGTCTAAGTTCCACTAAGTAAACGACATCCAATTTACGGACCGTAAACATACCAGTTTGCGATCCTTACGGCCTCTACGAATCGACAAACCGTATATACCCTCTCTTGCCCCACTAATGAGATGCAGGTTACGGACCGTAAACGGCCCTTTACAAACTGTATGCCATTTTTCAGTCCATACGATCCGTACGGATCGTAACATGGATTACATAATACACACACATACATACTTTATTGTTACCTCCCCAAAGGGGCTTTTTAGGAACAATGATTATTCAAAAGGGTTACGTTATTTATAATTATAACTAATTACAGCACTCAACTTAATAATAATTACAATTCTAGCTATTTACAATGTTTTTAAACTTAACTAAGATGTATTTACAAAATTATCTAAAAGCTGGCTTGACCAGGTCAATTTGCGCTAGACGTGCGATACATTCCGACACTGTGGTCGTTATATGGTTATCAAATGTTCAGTTCGGATCCAATTACGCCAAGATCTCTCGCTAATTGACCACTCCAGAAAATACCATAACATACCATAATGCTCTTTGTTTGTCACCCCAAAATTTTGCATAAGCATTGTCTTCAATTTCTCTTGGGAGTTAAAATGGCCCCAAGAGAAACTAAAAACAATGCTTATGCAAAATTTTGGGGTGACAAACAAAGAGCATTATGGTATGTTATGGTATTTTCTGGAGTGGTCAATTGTACTGGGGAAATGTACTTTCCCAACAAAGACAAATGAAATTCATGGAGCTTAGAGGTCATATGATCTGTCGGCTCCCGAAAACAATTAATTTCGTCTTGTCTGCATTCAGTAGCCGCCGATTTCCGAAGCACCAGTTGCGAACCTACAGGAGATCTTCATTCATTTCTTAGACAATCCGTTGGGAGTCGTGTAAATTAAAAGAAACAAACAGTGGATTATACGGACCGTTAAAGTGCGAGTGTATTGGACAACCATCGGGGAGGGAGGAGGACTGATCACGCTTTCCTTCCCCGTCGCCCATGCAATGGGTTACCTTTTTTTGATTATTGAGGGGAGGGTGCGGAGGGTGGGTCATTTCATTAAAAAAACAACTCGCAAACAGAATTATAACGAAAAATAATGTTCTTGCGTGGAGGTATGAGTCCCATATTGAAGTCCTACATTTATTTAAAATCCGATGCAAAGATGAGTTCCTTTTCGGTGTGTGTATTCATTGAGTGAGAATGTCTCCGAAGCTATAGCATCGGTCGTATGGCGCTATTTTCAGTAGTGCCTTCTTTAAAAGATGATAGGATGAGTCGCTTTCGAAGTTTCCCTTCACTTTTCGTGAAAGTTCAATCTGTTTAATAAACTTTAAATACTTTCTCTCCCAAAATATGCCAGCAAATTTCTGTCTGATGTTATTCACTAATTGCACTGAAAAATAATATGGAGGTTAATGTTACGCTGTTTGTTTGTATTTTTAATCGCTTCTCCGAAATGTATATTGTGTTTGAAAGAGGACCTCGATTCTAATTTTATCAAACAGTGATGGTAGCATTTGGTAGATCAACGACTTCCCGTAGCCAGTTGGAAGAACAATTAAACAATCCTGACCTTTAAAAACAATCGACTGTAGTGCTTCTTTTTGTTTAGGCTTCAGTATAAGATTTCCTTGACCTCTACTTCGAAGAACATCTTCAAGAACACTGTCCAAATCCATGTTTTTCTTATGTTTCCCGAACAGTCAGCAGGAACATGCACAGTTATAGCAAGGCCCGTAAATCGGGCCTCACTTCTACTGAGCATGATCAAAATCGTACTTTACCAGATCTGTCATTCCGCTGATTAATCCTGTCGTTCCACATTAAAATTTTCCCGTTTAATTTCCATCATTAATTTTATACTATTTTAACAAATCACCAAAAACTGGTATTTTATTAAATTAAGTCATTATTTTGTTCTATCTTAAAAACTAAATCTGTAATTTTGAGAAAAACTCAATGAATTGGACAA